TGAGATATTCTTCTGCGCCTTGCCCGCTTTTTTGGCAGCCTTACCGCTAGTTTTGGGTGGCATTTTATTGTGAGATGATGCTGAGTATAATCGACACCAACGCTCGACTAACGGAACGACTTTTTTTTTTTTTTTTTTTTTTTTTTTTTTTTAACGAGGGGGGAATGCATTTACGCACCATACCATAGCACGAGCTACGACGTGTGTGGGGCTCCAGGGTCTTGAAGAGATCACCTAATACCCACTAAACCCTAAACCTCCGCGTGGCCCGACTCATCAGCGTCTCGGTAGGCCATGTGTTGTGCGTGACCTGCGGTCTGCTACAACGTCTCCTCATGTGTTTCAGTCTCTGGGAACGCCGGGTTGGTTCCCTTTACCTCGCACATTCTATCGATGTCGTTAAGCGATCATCGATAGAGGGTCTGCTAGTTTCTCTTGAAACTCTTGTTTTCGAAAAATCAAGAGTTTCAAGTCATCTTACCAATATGTTGTTCCTGGTCCTGGTCCTGAAGGGTCCTGGTCCTGGTGGGTCCTGGTCGTGGCGGGTCCTGGTTGGTCCTGGTCCCGGTGGTTCCTGGTCCTCTGCATCCACGCGCGTGGGGGGGGGGGGGGAGCAGCCGCAAATTCTCCTAGTCTCCTAGTCAAGGTTCCAGTTAGCGGGTGCCAACTGGGACCTTGGTCTGGGGTACCTGGTTCTGCGGTTGCGAGGCCTCTCGTCCGGATCGTAGTCCATGAGGAATCGTAGCTGCTCGTTCGGTGGTCCTGAGCTTTCTCGAAGGTCTTCTCCGCTTTTTTCCTCATGTACTCGTGGATGGTATCCCAATGCAGGTCTCTACGCAAGGTTGAGTTCCTTACGTAGGAAGGTGCATTGGTGGCGATCCGGAGTAGCTTCATCTCTAGAGCAGCAAGTCGCTTGCGGTAGCTGGGGGCAGCGTACCCCCAGACCGCGGAGGCGTAAGCGAGCTGAGGTCTGGCGATGGCCTTGATCAGCCGTAGCTTGGTCGCTAGCGGCATCTGGCTGTGTCTACCCAGTAATGGATAGAGTTGAGCCATGGCTGCTCTGGTTTTTGCGATGACAGCTTCTATGTGCGCTTTCCAGGTGAGGGACTTGTCAAAAACGATCCCCAGATATTTGACATTGTCGCTCCACTGGATATCTTCATCGAAGATGGATGCTTCGAGAGGTCTTGCAATCCTTCTTCGTTGAATGAAGATTGCCTGCGTCTTCTGGACGTTGATGCGGATTTTCCATTTCACGCACCAGTCCTGAATTTGGTCCAGTTCACCCTGTAGTCTCCTACGGATGATCTCGGGTCGTCTATGCTTGGCGGCTATAGCAGTGTCGTCTGCATATAGGGCCAGCATTGTGTCAGCTGTCTTCGGCACATCGTAAGTATAGATGTTGTAGAGCAGGGGGGCTAAGGCTGACCCCTGGGGCACGCCTGCTTCCAGCTGACGTCTTGTTGAATGGCATGTACCAATCTTCACCGTGAACCATCTTTGTGTTAGATAGCTCTGGATCAGTTGGCACATGTTCGCATCGATTCCGGCGGCTTCCATTTTGGCGATGAGTCCATCGTGCCAAACTCGGTCGAAGGCTCGTTCCACGTCCAGCAGGACGAGACCGGTTGCCTCCTGGAGATTGAAGCCGCTGGTGATGTTTTCCGTCAGTCGTAGCGCTTGGAGTTCCGTGTTGTGGGAGGATCTGAAGCCGAATTGCTCTGGGGGGAGAAGTTGCAGTTCTTCTGCCTGCTTCTCTAGTCGAACGGCGATAGCCTTTTCGACTACTTTGCCCACCGAGGAAACCAGGCTGATGGGCCGGTAGTTCTGGGGCAACTTCCGGTCCTTGCCTGGCTTGGTGAGCATTATAACCTGGGCTTCCCGCCACCGCCGCGGGAAGTGGTTAAGTCTCAGAGTGGCATTGGCGATGTTGGTGAGCGCAGCAATGCCTTTGGTGGGAAGGTTCTTCAGCATCTATTGTTGATGCCGTCCCTTCCCGGCGCCTTTCTGACCTTCAACCTGCGGATGATCAGACGGATTTCCTCTGGACTGGAGGGGTGATCCGTCTCCTGGCCAGGTGGTCGACTCCTCATGTTTTCGGCTGCGACTTCCACGGCCTCCTCGTGGTTGTCGTCCTCGTCTTCATGGTAATTGAGTCTGCATTCGGATTCTAGCGAATCGGCGAATGCTTCGGCTTTTTCTTCACTGGAGTAGGCCAAGCCGCGTTGGCCGTGAAGAGTGGGGATCGTGGTGCGCTGACGACGAAATTTTCGCTGCATAGACCAGGCCGTACCATCCTGGGTCTCTAGTTCTGCACAGGCTGCATTCCATCTGTTGTTTTGGAGTTCCGCGAGTGCGTTCTTCAGAGCTAACGATGCTCTGTTTCGCGCAACTCTCGACTCCTCTGTCAACAGCTGGAGATGTTCTCGCTTGAGTCTTCTGTTCTCCCTGATCAGGTGCCTAATATGGTGGTGCTGGACCATTTAGGTATCTAGGAACTGCCGTAGTCTCGGAGCGGGTGCTGTCCTCGTGCGCTCGCAGGACAGCATTCTCCAGCTCCTCTACTGCGTTGTCCAGTTCCTCCGCTGATCGGATGGTTGGAATTTGAGTGATGTTCCTCTGGACGTTGGATTTGTAAAGGTTCCAGTTCGTCCGTTTGGTGCTCAAGCTATCTCGAGTTCTAGACCCTGTACCAAGTGTAGTAGAATCGGATTGTGGTCCGACGATCCTTCCACCAGGGTCTCTATCTCGAACTCCTCTCTGATGTTGCGGAGGATGGCTATGTCCAGTACCGCAGGTCGCCCAAGGCCGAATGGAATGTAGGTTGGTTGCTCCGGACCGACGATGACCCCCGCCAGGGCATCGACGTGTTCCTGGAGCTGCCTTGCATTCCTGTCTTCGACGTTGTTGTTCCAAGCCGGAGACTTGCAGTTTAGATCTCCGATGACTATGCGTGCTCCTGGGCCTCTCAGGAGGTCCGCGATGTCATCTTCGTCTAGGGCCTCCCCTGGTGGCACTATGGGGAGGTGATTCTGTAGGGACGGTGGTTGTGATGGACCTGGACCGTGATTCCGTCCCCATTTATGTCTGCGGCATCGTCGAGGACATGACTCGTCAAGGTACGTTTGACGAGTAATGCGACTCCTCCACCTCTGCCCCTTCTGTCGTAGCGGTACGTCTCGTACCGCGGGAACGTCAGACTATGGGCAGCATCCAACTTCGTTTCTTGGATGGCCATCACCTCTGGTTGGTACTGGTCTAGTATCTCCTGGATTTCTGGTTTCCGTGCCCTGAAACCGTTGATGTTCCAGGAGATAATGCTAGAGATTCTACGTTTTGACCTGTAGACATTTCGGGTCTAGTGCTTGTTTGCATCTTGGCCTCGAGTGCATCCAGGCGGGTTATGATGGCTTGCATCATTGCTAGCAGTCTGTCATCGCCGTGTGCTTCTGCGCAGTAGTTCCAGTAGCAGTGGCGGCTGCTGGGCAGAAGTGGACATAGGCTTCTTCACTTTTTGGGCGTAAGAAGTCCTATTTGTGGTGGGGACTGCTTTGGGGGCAGAAGCAGCGCTTTCTTCGGCGCCTTACTACATCCCTTGTAGTTGGCGGGGTGGCCTTCTCCACAGAGGCAACACTTGGCGTTTCGTTGCCCTGTTGGCGGCGCTGGCAGACTGCAGCTGGTGCTGTTGTGGTCCTCTCCACATTAACGCACCGTTCAGCGAGACGGCAGTTCCGCTGTGTGTGCCCGTACCGCTGGCAGCGGTAGCACTGGCTGGGCTCGGAAGACTTTTTCTTCCTCTCGAAGCTGACCGTGAGCATGGCCAGCCTCTGGATCTCTGCAAGCTTTTCCGGCATCTTCGTCTTGACGAGGAAGAGCGGAAGTGGCTTCTTTGTGGTCCTTGAGGTCAGCTGCTGAACCACGGCGTCTGCGATGCCTTGGCTCACCAGATCCTCTTTGATGTCATTGACTGACATCTCTCTCGGAAGCCCACGAATGACCCTCTGGTCCATCCTGTCCTCCTTCAGTTGATATGTGAAGAAGGGCCGCTTGATGGATTCAAGCAGTGCGACTAGCTGACGGTAGTCAGCTGGTGTATTTGTGAATACCTTCACACTGGTACCCGCCGTCCTCGCTTTGGAGAATTGAATCCCCTTGCTGTTCATCATCCTACTCAAGGATGACCAATCAGCGGTGCCCTCGATGTTGATTGGCGGAACTCCTGTTCCTGCCATGGGGGCCTCGGTGGTCCTGGTTGCTCTAGGACCACTCTTCTTTGTGGCAGCTGGCATCTTTCGCTGCCTGGTTCTTCTTCTTCTTCTTCGGAGGAAACTCGCACCCGCTTCCTCCGTCTGGTGGCGACACTGAAGTCGGTGTCGTCCGTCCTTTCTCGCTTCTTCTACGTCGATATCTTGGGCATCCATGTCCAAGTTCTCCGTAGGCTGCTGGTCCTCCTCTCCTGGTCCTCTCCTTCTACATCTTCCTCCGTCTTCTTAGCTTTTCTCTTTGCTTTGAGGCTTCCTTTTCACCTCATCGATATCATTCCTCGCCTTCTCGAATGCGGCTTGCAGATTTTCATCTGCTCAGCGAGCATTCGAAGTTCTCCTCTTTCTCCTTAAGCTGGCTCGCCAGCTTTTCGATTCTCGCCATCGTGGATGGCGATCGTACCGCGATGAAAATCACAGTAGGATCGCACTGTATGTCCGGGTGGGTCGCAGTCGCACGAGTGTATGCTCGTGACGGCTGCTAGCTCGGAAACTCAACGGAACGACTGCAATTCTCTGGCCGTATTTAAGACAGGTGACGTTACGACCGTAGACTCCGCCCCAGGCGTTTGCCGGCAAACGTTCGCGTCGATTGGTCGGTTAGTTCATATAAATACAACGTTCGCGGAGATCATGTTGTGCATTTGCAAGTTCATAGTCGACGTCGTTCGTTTAGCAGATTAACAAATTGAATATGTCAGGACGCGGAAAAGGCGGTAAAGTTAAGGGAAAGGCAAAGTCCCGATCCAGCAGGCCGGCTACAATTTCCCGTCGGTCGTATCACAGGTTATTGCGAAAAGGGAATTATGCTGAACGCGTCGGTGCCGGAGCTCCCGTATATCTAGCGGCCGTTATGGAATACTTGGCCGCTGAAGTTTTGGAATTGGCAGGCAACGCTGCTCGCGACAATAAAAAGACCCGTATTATTCCACGTCATCTGCAATTGGCCATCAGAAACGACGAAAGAATTGAACAAATTGCTTTCAGGCGTCACAATTGCCCAAGGAGGAGTTCTCCCTAATATCCAAGCTGTTCTTTTGCCGAAAAAAGACGGAGAAGAAAGCCTAAAAAAAAAAATCTTCTGAACATACAATCGGCCCTTCTCAGGGCCAACAAGTAATTTAATAAGAAAATGAAGGGATTATCATTTTGTATATGGAAAAATTTCTCAGGGTGATATCGGATCGGTTGTGGCGCGAGAAGTTGGCAATAACTAAATTATTTAATCGAGCATCTCATCGTCGCATTCACGTCTAATATTCGCCGGTATCTCGATAATGGGACATATCGGGACCGAAATCGTCGATTATTGTAATTCAAAGAGCCAAAACGTATAAGTCGATCATTTCTCATATTCCGATAAACTCATTTATGTGAGTGTTCTTTTTATTTGTATAAAAAAAAATAGAAAATTAATGTGGCGGTTCAATCGGCAGATCCATTCTTTCTCACGAGAGTATATGGTGGTTCTGAAAAGAACCGTTTTTTTTTTCTTTGTATTGTATTTTCGTTCAACCTGTACCGTGGTAATGCTGCGGAGTGTTTAACCACCGAATCGTACAAAGTGCGTCCTTGTCTCTTTAATGCATATACGACGTCCATTGCAGTGACTGTCTTCCTTTTAGCGTGCTCGGTTGTAAGTGACTGCATCCCTGATTACGTTCTCTAAAAAGACTTTGAGCACTCCTCGAGTTTCTTCGTAAATCAATCCGGATATACGTTTTACTCCTCCACGTCGCGCCAATTTCTTATGGCCGGTTTCGTAATTCCCTGGATTTATCCCTCAAAAACTTTACGATGCCTTTTCGCTCCTCCTTTTTCCCAATCCTTTACCACCTTTACCGCGTCCAGTCATTTTCAAGATTCTCTCGCACGTCGAACTGTTAAAGCGAAACGGGCTGTTGCCAACTGACGGTACGTCTCTCGTGACGCCCGTTTTGTTA